CCTTCGCCGTAAGCACAACGTAAGAATAGCCATGCATACATGTGTCATCATAAGCAAAACATAGAAAAACGTAAGCTTTGCGTAAGGCCTACCGTAAGGTTTGATTTCTCGGCAAGATAAGACAACGCAATTTTTAACACCGCTCACTTGGAAAATTCTGTGTTCAGTCACCCGCAGCCATCGCAGAGTAGCTTTTTGGGGGCTTCCCACACATGATTGCACACTCCCATGATTAAGGCGTCTCCCCACTGGGACCTGGTAGGTTGGGTGCGATAGACATACCCAACCTATGATGGTTTGGTGTCCCCGAACACGATGAGGGCGCGAAGTGCGAAGCGCGCCACCGTTTCCACGTCGAGGTCACCAGAGGTGAAGTTCCCGAGGACTGGCTTCGCAAGTTTGTGGCCCGGATCCAGGGCGGCTGCGAGATAAAAGGCATCTGAGGGTAACATGAGTCATCAATATCAATATTACCTAAAATTGAGTAATCATTAATTAATCATTAAACAATATTATATGTGCTGAATATGGTACGCACCTGAGGTGGCGCTTGGTAGGCCCACCACCAAACTGACGTTTTCAAGCTCTTTCGTAGTCCTCCATCTCCATTCTATCCACGTCTTTTGGCACAAGTGAACTCACACATTCTGTGTGCCAGAACGTTGTCCTTTTATCCGCTTAGAGCATTTTTAGAGAGGAGGCTACATCAAGTAGGGCACAACAACGCATACTGGAGAGCATCTAGGAACTGCTTGTTTGCTTTTCATTGCCGCGCCTCAGTTCCAATAGATAGATAGATAGATAGATATTAAAGCAGATGGATGGACAGATTGATTAGGTCAAAAGAGACGACCCTTTCATCTTCCACCACCGCCTTGTTTCAGGAAATCCAAACATCGAAACACTGATTAATCGATCAGACCCCTTCGGCCTCAACTGCTCAGGCCAGGTCCCAATCATTGACTGGGTTAGTGTCTTTTTTCGTCTCAGGCATAGGATTGGTTGGAGTTATTCTTCTGCATACTGATTTTTAATCCTTGCAAGATTCACACCACATCTGGACCAAACTCTGGATTTTCAGAAAGTCTTCCAGATCTTCAAGTCGATATTCCTGCTCTTCCAGATGTACAGACATTTCTTTCGATGTTCCTTCCTCGGTTTCATGAACTCATCCTTCCAAGACCAGTTGCCACCGGTTCTGCCGTACCGATGGGCAACCGGTGCCGGTGGACGTGGCCCGTTCGGCCAAGGCCAAGATCGACTTCTATGCGGCCAGAGAGGCGGTCCGAGCGGCCGACGTGGAGGCTCAGATTGGGAGCGGGGTGGATGGACGGCGAGTTCGGTTCGACGATTCGGCTCTTCTCGGTGGGTGTTTTGTATTGATTTCTCCTCTGTCTACAGTCGGACCATTTTCCAGGACTCACCCATGTTTTCCAGAGATCACTGGATGTTCCAGGTATGTTCCATGTTGGGAAAGGGGGTGCTTTTGAACAAACATGCATGCCGGAGAAGGTGAAGAACACCATGTTGAATCTGCAGGCGACCTGAAATGTGAACGGTGCATTCTTTGTTGCTCAACTAGCGGATCTTCGTTCCACCTCCACTACTGTAGCAGCTCCACTACTCCTTCATATGGGTGTCTGTAATAGAACGTATGGTGAGACCGTCCAACCACTGGGTCTTCGTTGCTCGTTCCTCTTCAAATCCATACTCTGCAGACACGTCGAAACACTCGCTCGCCGCGCGGCGCGAAGCGCGCACCGAGGATGGCTCTGGCGACCCGGCGATGCGGTTCTGGGACCATTTGCGTGTTGATTATTTCTCACTCAGCTGTCGGTCGAGGTTTCTCCACCCTCCCGGTTCAAAACGGAGGTAGATTGGGAACAGGGAACAGGCTGACTGTGACATGAATCCAGGCAGTCAGGTTTACTGGAGGACTAAGAACTAAGGTCCAAGGAGATCATAGCTCCCCTGAGGAACTCAACGGTGGAATTTTCGTTCTTGCACGTAGCAGACTTCATGTTGTAGTTCCTGCGCAAGAACTTCAAGTTGGAGTCCATCTGTGGATGGTTTTGATTCTAAAGTCTGGGACTGAAGCAGATGTTTTGTGTGGCTTCGACCTCTTTGCTTGATCTTCCTTGATCTTCCGGGCTTCCCATGTCCGAAATTCCACCCTTTTGTTTGGTCGCTTTCCACGGCGGAACGAACTGATGATGTTCATCATGGCGATGGGACGCACCGTTCGTTCGTCGGGTCTGGGACGAAGACCCCACAGAGCGACCACTCTCACCAGACCTGTGTGAGCTGCGCCACTGGGCACTTGCTTTCCTCGAAAACCGAGCACCGAGCACCCAGCCTGGTGACGGCGCCGCGAGACCTGAGACACCGTCACCGTCCGGCATGTCAAGGAGTGCAGTTGGTTGAAACCGCGCTGGGTTGGCCCTGGGTGGGAGGAGAGCGCCCTCCGGGATCCGAAAGCGACAACGACATGTCCCGCAGAACAGCCGGAACATGCCAATCGATGCTCGTCGACTCGTGGATGTGTTTAGCTTTGCCCCCACAGAAACAACGGAGCGTCAGACGGCGATGGCCAAGATGGCCCCACATTCTGCTTCGGCTGAAAACACGTGACACAGGTCACAGGTCACAGGTTGCCATCGATCGGACCATCCACGGTTGACCGAATCACCCGCAGGTTGGAACATCCATCGCACCGAGGCAAGCTGGATTTCGACGAGTTTGCCAGTTGCATCGAGTCTTTGGGCGTGGAGGGTATCACCAACGAGGAGGCAGCGGCGTCTGGTTTTCTGGTGAGCCAGAACCAGTGGTGTCGCCCTCCCCAATCGACCTTACAAGTCTCATGTGACCAGGTCCTGGGTGGGCACTGGGTGGGCAGAAAACGGATCGAACTGGAAGATTCCACGAAACACGTACCTACGTGAAGACATATGGTGACATTCCTGGTCCAACAGTAGCTTGTAACAAAGCCGCTTTTCTTTACCCAACCCTCATCACCGAGAGGCGGCCGGGCTGGCGACCTTCGCCGACGCCAACAAGGACGGTGTGGTGGACCCGGAGGAGGCGAAGGGCGGGGGGCGGTTAGAGGTGGTCGGTCGAGGTGTTGGGGACGGGGTGGAGTTCAGTTCCAGTCATGAACGAGGTTCCTTCTCAAGACCCTCATGGGTCTTTAAAGCATATGTATATATGTATATGTATACCTTGTGGCTCCTGGATTTCCTCGATTTGCTCCCAGCTTTCTTCTTGAGTTGTTCCCACGGTCCTTCCGTATGTCGCATGGAGGTCTTTACCTGGTTGGCCAACCACATGGAGAAGAAGGATGAGACGAAAGAGGAGGCATAAGCGAGTGCAGCCATGTAGCTCTTTCCTTCGTTCATGTTTGTACAGGATCATACCCAGAAATCCCATGTGTAGACGATATGATGCTGAGAATGGCATATGATACATTCTTATTTGGGTGTAAATTTGAATAACAGCCCAAGGGCCCTTAGACGAATAAATGTTGGCATTTTTGTTGAAGAACTAAGATGGGTCCCCGCTATTCTTCCCACAGAGAACAGCTGCAGCAGCCACATTCCAATGTATATGTTTTTGGCAATGCTGTCGGTGGGGCTCACACAAGTTCAAGGACCAAACAAGGGCAACAGGCTTTGTGTCCGAACTAAAGCGTATGGGTTTAAAAGTTCCTTTGTCACATTGCGTGTGTCACATTACTCAAGAAAGACCCAACACAAACATCTTAGATCACCTGCCCTAAGAATCCCCCACCGAAGCTGAAGATTTCGCACCCGCTGGCCTGTCTGGGCTTCAACACGAAGCCTGACATGTGTCTCGCTGGGCTTCAACCAAAGGTTATGCCATTTGTATCCGTTTGTGCATTTGTGTGTTATTGTGTAATGAGGACGAGATCTCCTTTGGGTGGAGCCATATTACATGTGTTATATAGTTTCACCATGGTAGCAAAAGTTTGACAGATCCAAACAGTGCGACAGAGTCAGTTTGAGAGACCTGGCCAAAGATTGTTTTTTTGTTTTTGCACCACCCGGATGCGAGCACCACCGGCGCGTGCAAAAACTGCATGCCGCAGTCTTGGCATCCGATGTCATGCGACAGCATGCGTGTCGCAAAGAGTGAGCGAATGTATTGAAGTGGCCTTATGGATCCACTGCCACCTTCTCAGAAGGTATTTGGGCCCTCCCCAAGCCTACATAAATAGTCTCCAATCACCGTACCTCGGAAGGTATTTATGTCGATCCATAGGGTGGTGACACAGACGTACTGTGACGTGGTGGAGCATGCGCTACGACTCCCAACGATTGGTGGCAGCCATTGCTGGCAAGCTGCCGCCTGGCCGCCTGCCACAATCAAGCATGATCTAGTTTTCGTCTACAAACCAAGTCTCCTGTTTGCAGCATAGGAACAGCAGAAGGACACTTCTTTTGTCAAAGGGACTATCCTGCCAGTGCAGTTTTCAGTGCTTTTGAGATGCTGTTTCCAAACGCTTTGAGGTTGCTCAGAGTGTTGTGAACACAAAGTAAGTAAAGAGGACTTGACACAAACAGCAGATGGGTGAAGACCGAGGAACATTGACACCGTGAGCACACTAGTGCTCGGGAGCGCTCCGGTTCAGACTCTTCTTGTATGGTTTGAGTTCAAAAGTCAACATGGACCAAATAGACATGGGTATAGATCAAAGATCCTGGCTGCTTGCACATTTGTGACCTGGAGGAGCACGTGTCATGACTCCAAAGCATTTGTGCAATAAGTTTGGCTACCGCCCACCAAAAACAACGGGGTATCTAGGTGTTTGTTTACAATTACAAAACAAGTCTCCTGTTTGCAACATGAGAACAGGAGCAGCATCAAAACACGTATTGCTTTGATGATTTGAAGCCCTACTAATACATACTATATAGTGTATATATATATATATATACATCCTGCTGCACCCATTTTTGTCCAAAGGCCTACGCCCTGCTGAGGTTTGTGACATTGCCAGCAGGGCTCCAAGCTGGTTTGGCGGAAACGTGGGTGGAATGCGAAGCGAGACACGACTGATGTGATACAAGTAGAACATACATGGAAACCGTGAGAGGAGTTTGTTCAACTGTTTTCGGTAAGGTGGGTTTGGAACAGGTGAGTAACTTGGTAAGATTAGTCCATTGTGAGGTTCTTCACTTTGTTTGCGGTTGCTGGTGCCATTTTGGACTCAAGGATCCGGCACCAGTGACCCAGATCAATTTTTGTTGGTCTTCTGAGTGCTTAGCTTTGTTCAGTAGGGCCTGGGGTCACGGTGCCATGGCAAGCTCCTCTTCGAGCCAAGTTCCCAGGAAGCCTCCACCTAAGGCACCCCCACCTGCTCTCCAGAAACAGCTCGCGATGGCTCATCTGAGAGCTTCAGAGCATGTCATGCCAGATGACAGCGCCAGCATGGTGGGGTCCGCCACTGGATCCAGTGCTTCCTGGACGCGAGTGAATGCACCTGGGCCTGTGATCGTGGAGGTGACTGAATCCAGCATGCCCGTGATCGAGGAGAACAAGTCGGAAGCTGGGAAAGTGATCACTGGCCCGGCCCAAGATGATCCTTGGGCTACAGATGATGCTCCAGTGGGGGGATACACTGCTCCACCACCCGTGGCAAATCCTCCGGTGGCTCCAGTACCCCCAGCAGCCAGTGCAGCAGCTCCTGCCACTCAGGCAGCTCGAAATTTGCTTGAGGGAGTCAACGAGACTGCAGCCGGTCGGCGACTGAGGCGCCAGCAAGCTCGAGCGCAGCGGAAGGGGGCGTATGGAGTTCGCTGGGGGCAAGCTCCACCTTTGAGGAGCCCATTGAATTTTCAGCTCCCTTCGTACCTGAGCCAGATTGGATCTCAAGAAGGCGAACGATCCGTGATGGTTCTCGACAGCCGTGATCAACGGTTGCAGAGTCCATACCAGGGATGGCTTCTGGATGAGATCTTGGTCAATGCACAGGCAGGAATCAATATCCATGCGGATCGAGCTTTGGTGAGATCTCCCAACACGGGGTACCACTTCAACGTGTTCTACGTTCGGACCCTTGATGGCCAGAAGCTCGTGCTGTGCGGATCGATGTCTTCATACAGCTCGGTGCCTGCTGCTCGGTGGGACGCCCACACTGGGAGAGTTCTCTCCCATCAGGCATTCCAACCATTCAGGTGGCCTGTGATGAGGGATGATTCGGCGACCTGGATGGATTTGAAGTTCAAAGTGGAAGGCTCGTTGCTCCTCCACCTCGAGCTCCGAGGTTATCGCTCAGACAAAGACATGAGCATCCAATTGAATTACATCAATGATGCGCTCGTCTTGGGCTTGGCAGATCTCCTGTGTGTTCCATCCGTGGTCATCACGGTGTTCCAGGGCTGGAGGGTGGTCGCAATCTCGTTCGAGGTGGGCGGCCGCTTGTACGCATGCTCGGACGGGGGCACTGTGATCGCATTGGATTATCCGTTGTGCCACTTTGAAATTCGAATGACAGCGGTGGCATCAGCAGACTCATTCGGCTGGGACGCAGATCGTTTGGAGATGCGATTCGTCTCAGCTGGAGACAAGCTTGATCTGGCTTGCTCCTCAGTCTCAGCTCCAGCAAGTTGGCTCATGGTGTCGAGAGTGTCAGGGCCTACGCTCGTGAAGAACTCCGACTGGTGTCGACGCCGCTACGCGAGGATCGAGGGGCCTGACCAGATCATGCAACTCTCGCAGCTCGCGGGAATTCATGCCCACTGGACGGCGGCCATGCAGGCCGACTCGATCGCAGAGTGTGGACCACGGGTTGGAGCGATAGCTGTGGATTCCCATGAGCTCAACCTCCACCTCATCTGCGAATCCCCGCTCTTCAAGCAGGAGAAAGCGATCGTCCCTGTGGATGCCCTAGCCTTGCAGTTCCACGACCCAGAACTGGAGAGAGCGACGATGATCTTGCCGCCGGTGACGGGTGGACCTGCTGCTCAGCCCGTGTCTCGACAGGCCGGAAGTGTTCGTGCCCTAGTCGGTCATGCTCCTAGCTCAGTTCAGATCATGGGGTTGCAAGAGGCTCACGTTTCTTTGACCCAGCCAGGAGAGGCTCCAACACAGAGCCAGCATTCGGCAGGGGCAGTTCACGTCATGCGGAGGTCTCTGGAAGCTCGAAACAACGAGCGGATCGCTGCGGCGGCGGTCACTCCCCAAGCTTTTGTAGCAGGAGTTGAACGCGCCATGGCTGGCCATGAGGATCCTTTGCGCTCCACGACGACATTGTCAGTGGAGGAGTTTGCAGAGCTCGAACAGCTCGATCAAGAGACGCGTCGGCCCTCAGGTGCGCCAAGATCGTTCAGGCCAGGCAATGACGGCCCGGAGATCACGGATGTTTGAGGTGGCGGCGTCTCTCATTTTTCAATTCAGAGGTCAACGACCCGCGAAATTCGATCGAACGAAATTCCAACGACGACTCTCGTTGGCTCGTGGTGAGTGTGAAAGAGTGGCTCTGCTGCGGAGGGTCTAGACCAACGTAAGTCGGCTCTAGTCGATCGTGACGTGATGCCGGTTAGATCGTTGTGTCATGTTCCATTCGCTCAGATTGCTCGCTCTTTGCATTTTTATTGCCATGAGTTGCTCACGAGAGTTGCAAATTCAGTAGATCTTGAACTTCAGTCACGACCGTGCTCCCGGCATCAGGTAACCGCACCCAGTGCTGTCGTGGGATCCCAGCCAGAGAGGTCAAAGTGTTGATACTGAGCTCCTATGTTTCGGGTTCAGTCCACTTTGAACACTTTGGCAGGGATCTATTGTCGAGCGTGAGTTCCGTCGTGTGAGTTGATCGGTTCATTCAAGATCATTGTAATTTTCTTTTTGAGCAGATAGATCAAGTCTTCGGCAAGTGCTCCCGGATTCACTCACAAGAGTCGTGATCACGTAGCATTTCGTGTGAGCTTGATATTCACCATGTCTGAGCCAGTGATCATGGCTCAAATGAATACTGAGCGCTGGGCACGGAAGATCCTGTCATTTCCCGTCTTTTCGGATGCGTTTGCCCAGGCCATAGCTCAGAGCCCTTTTGGCAACCTGGCCATAGTGTCATCCATGGAGGTGGGATCGCCTGGCGAGTTCGTAGCCAAAGTGGCTGACTGGTCGGTGACGCTAGATCCGAAGGTAGCTGAAGCTCTTTTGAACGATCCGATGCAACTCGAACAGTTCTGGTCTTTAGCTTCCTCGGTGGAGAAAAGCTTCTTCGAATCGACGGCCAACCAGCTCGGTTTTGGGACGTGCGATCCGATGCGGGCGCTCGCCGCCTCGCCGGAGTCAGCTCGGATGAAAAGGGCAGCGGCCATCCAGGAGCTGTTCCAGAAGCAGAGCAAGGCTCCTAGGAAATCACACGGGGTTGTCACTCCGGCTACCTCGAGCTCGCCTTTGCTGGATCAAGAGAATGCCGAGAGACACAAATGGGCAGCTCGTTTAGAGCAGATCGGTCGCCGAGCTGGATCGTGGGCTCGCCTTTGGGAAGACCCGGCAGCAGGCGAAGGTCTCTCTCCGCTGGAGAGTGAAAAGCTCAGGCATCTCGTGCTCACCTCTGGGGCCCCACGGACGATCGCTACATACGTTCGTGTGTGGGAGCGGATGGAGGCTTGGCTGACGTCGATCGATTGGCCGGTCTACCCACTCACAACCCCTAAGGTCGTGAAGTACATGCTTCATTTAGATTCAACAGAGTGTGGACCGACAGTTTTGCCCACATTGCGGACTGCCGTGAAATGGGTGTGTGCTCGTTTGGTGATGGATCCCCCCAATATGGATGAGCCCTCAATTGTTGCCCTCCAACACGAAGTGATCAACAAGCGAGCGGAAACACTCCGCGAGGCGGTCCCAATCCCTTCAAAAGTTGTAGGGTGTTTAGAGGAGTTCGTTGTGGATGACTCGTTTCCTTGGGCCTGTCGGGTCTTCATTTGGTGGTGGCTCTGCCTAGTGTTCGCTTCTTTGCGGTTCGACGATGGTAAGCACGTGAAACCTAAAGATCTTCGTATGCAAAACACAGGGTTGTTCGGGGTCGCGTGGCAAACCAAAGTCGACCGAAAAAGAAAAGGCACTCGTTTCGCCATCCCACACGTTGGTTTCAAGCAGGCGACTTGGCTCCAAGTCGGATGGGAGTTGTTCATGGCCGATGAGCATGAGCGTGATTTTTGGGTCCCCGAGCTGAACAGTAGGTCCGAGTTTTTGGCATCCCCTCCCTCTCATCAGAGGTCCCTCCAATGGTTGAAAGTGCTCGCTAGGGAGAGTCTTGAAAAGTTCGGGGGCGCTAGGGACTCGGACGAATGGCGGGCTTGCGCACGTTCTATTAATCTGATCACGTGTCATTCGGCTCGCGTGACCATGTTGGATGCTGCTGTTCATGCAGGTAGGTCCACGGAAGAGATAGGGTTGCAGGCGAACTGGAAAGACCCGGGGCCTATGGTTCTTAAATATACTAGGAACCGTTCTAGTGTGCCTGCTCGCATGATTCACCAGCTCGTTCATGACCTGGTCAAGGGCGAACACCCCATTCATGAGACCGTCGAAGACGAGCTCGATGATGCTGGTGTGATCGAGGAAGCTCAGGCGCAATTTTTCATCAAGACAGCATCCTCCGCCAGCTCATACGAGTACCGTTTTCATTGCTCGGCACTCGAAGACCCGTCACTGATGGCTTGCGGCAAGTTTTCACTTGACGACTGCTCAGCTGTCGGATCCGAGTTGCCCGATCTGTCGGTGCTGTGTAAGGCCTGTGCCAAAGCTCGGCCAGACATCGCACTTGCATTTGCCAAGAATTGAAGACGTTCGAGTGTGACGGAAAATCAGCCGCCCCAGCAAAGGGAGCGTGGTTTTATGTTCCGACTGATCGCGCATTCATTTTCTTAGTTCTTTCTTTATTTCGGAAAGATCGGTCAGAATTTAACCTGATCGCGGTGAGTTCGTCGTCCATGTGTCGTGTTCAACCTGCGAATTCATGATAGTCTCTCTCAAGAGCGGCT